TGACTTTTGAACTATTTGGTATATTTATAATATATAATATAGATTAATTCTTTTAAATAATATTCATATATAAATATTATTTATACTAAACAAAGAATTTTTTAGTCAAGGATTTCTTTATAGATTGATATCGAAAATTACTACTACCTTTATAATCAACCTACCATATATATTATGCGTTATTTTTATTCTTCAGTACATACTAATCTTCCATTTGTATAACATAATTTCTATTTTTCTCTCTTTTTTTTTTCTTTCTTTCATCTTATACTAATATTGAATTATTGAAAAGGAAAAAAAAAAAACTCAAAGTAAAAAATGTAATATGCAATCATTTGATGTTAATTTGAATTTCGTATCGGATTGCTAACCTTAAAAAAGAAAAAAAGGAAAAATCAAAAAATAATTACCATCATATATATATATATATATATTAAAAGAAAGTAGAGAAGCTTTATTTTTTACGATTATACTTCTTAGGTTATTGACAAGCAAAATAATAAATCATGATTTCTACATACATGCACCGTTGATTTACTTGAATACAGAAAGCCGTATAAAAACACGAATAACAACCAATTCTTTAACTAATCAAGGACTTCATAGAGACGAAAGATTGAATGCAAGAAGAAGAAGAAGAAGAAGAAGAAAAAAACGATTAGATTACATGTTTGTTGAAAACGTAAGAGGACATGAGCACGATTGCTTTATTCATATAATATAGAAAGACATGCGTTATACGACATATTGAGTAATGTCTTTCTTTCTTTTTGCTTTATGTACCTCGAAAAAAAAAGAATATTTACTAATTTATTCATAGGTGAATAATATATGAAATTAAATGCGAAATGTAAACAACTTTGTATTTAACACATTTATTTTATTATTTTCTTTGAATTTATATTTTATTTATTTAAACAAGAAAATTAATTAAAATTCTACTGTAAAACACATGAAAAACAAAAAAAAAGAAGAAGAAAAAGAAAAAAAGAAAGTCTAAAATAAAATTTTGCTTTTTTTTCTAACGATCATCAATATTTGGTTTCTCAATTAAATGTGAACGAAATAATTGAAAAGCAACCATACCACGCATAGCTTTGGAATCATGTTCCATACCTGGTTCCCAAGCTCGACATGTTACACTAATAAGACGATTTAATGGTAAATTTTTAAATTGAACTAATACAAATGGTTGAACATGATCAGGAGCATTTCTATTGTATAAAAACAGAACGAAATCATCTTTATCTTTTGTATATAAAAGTTTACCGATATGGAAAGTAATAATTTGGTATAATACCGTATTTTATTGAACCAGATGGTTTTCCTACTGAATAGTATTTGACATCATGTAAAGCATCTTTATCAGCAGGATTCTATTTTTGTAAAAAAAAAAAAAAAAAAACGAAATAAAATTTCGATAAAGAATACAATAGAACATTAGTACTATGATTTGATAAATATGTATCTATTCAAAAGAAAGATTAAATCTTATTTCATTTACAACATACCGATCCTTCACATGTGATATAAACGTCTGGTTTTGATACACTTTTATTACTATGGATATTTCGAAGATCTTGTATACGTGGTGGTAAAGGACCTTTTGATGGTGTCCATCCATAGACCTATAAAGAATTAATTAATTTTTAATTTTTTTGTTTTGAATTTGAAAAACAAAACAAACAAATTATTGAATACTTTATTTAATTTAACAAGAACACATGGTTCTTCATTTTTAAAACCATACATATTATTATCCGAACATGGATGATCTGCTGTATTAACAATATGAAACCAATTAAATGAACATGCTGTACCGGGTACTAATTCTGATGCTGGTTCCACTTCTGAACATTCTTCTATTTTAGCATCATTTCTTTGAATAAGATAAACTACAAACAAACAAAATAAAACGACTTGTTTTTTTTTTTTTTTCTTTCAAAAGAAAAAACAATAATTAACTAACCATCACGATATAATCGAAGTGATGAAGCAATACGTATTTGTTGATGAGGATCACTTGTTATTCGAATAAGACTATCATCAATTTCTGGTTGAGGTCGAAAACCCATTCCAACTATAAAAAAAGAAAACAATAAAGAAAAAAAACAAAATCAAAATCAAAATCATAAATATTTATTTTATTTTTAACAAACCAACAGTAGCTGTTGTTCGTACAGCCATTGTACTATCCCTATTATAATATCTTGGTACTTCACGATCAAGCATCCAAGCAAATGCCGTAAGTAAAATAACAAAAAACATTCCCAAACAAAAATAAAATATTGTATAAAATAAGGCTAATCTAGCTAAAATATATATAAAATAAGTAATATAATTTGATTAACTTTAATTTTTATTTACCCCAATTAAGAGAACTACGACCAAGTAATGTTTTTCTACGTGGATCATACAAAAAGCTTGTACGTGGTTTTTCTACATTTTTATTTTTTGGAAGTATTTCTTCATTTTCAGGAGGTAATTTTCCTTTAATAAAACTAGATTTTCGAACATCTGTATAGGGACTTGGTGGAAGTATATGAATATCACTTGAAGCATGTCCTTGTCGAGGATCTTTTTCGTCCATTTTATCTATTTCAATCAAATAGAAAAAAGAAAATTTTTACTTTTTATAGTAAAGAAAAAAAAACAAACAAACCAAACGCACTTTTACGAGGAAATGTTTCGTTCTTGTCTTATATATATATATGATTGCAAATGAAAGGATGATAACGTTAGTATGAAATGTAAGTGTATTCAACCGTAACCAAAATATATGTATATGTTTATGCTTTATACATTCTTTTCTTCTGTCTATATTCAGTGGACATAAAGTATGCATTTATGTTCGAAAAAGAGAGGCAATCAGGTTTTTTTTTGTATACATAAAAATGCAGAAAAGAATATACTCCTTGTTTATATATTGAGGATTATATTATGATTAGAAATATGATTTCTATAATTTTAATATCAATTATTAACACGTGTATTTTATACATAGAAAATGAAGAATGTTATTGTCATACATGGACTATTAACAATGATAAAGATAAAGAATTCTTTTGAAATTTTATTTTTAGATAATTGAAAAAACATAAGTTTTTAGTTCATATTCTATCTTGACAAGTTGAGAATAAATTTTGTATTATTCTATATATTTATAATTTCTTTTGTTTTTGAGTTTGTCATTGATATCTTATTGTAAATCTTCGAATATAGAATTTAAATTTTTATTTAAAATATATTCTCTCGTAAAATAAGAGTTTCAAAAAAACAAAAATACGAAATAATCAAATGACATATTATCTTTTGTTTTATTTAAATATCTCAGTACAATACTTTACTTTATGATTTATTTTAATAACTCATTGTATTTTTTTATGATAACAAATTATTAATTAATTTTTAGAGATACCGTAGAAAGAAGAGAAATTTGATAAATGAAAAAAAAAGAGAATAAAAGTGTGATAAGCAATCAGGCATGACCTTGATGAATATTTTTACTTATTACTGATAAAAATCATGTTTTTTTTGGACATAAAAGTTTATAAGTGTGAGTATGTACCATAGTCTTCTTCAATTTGTATAAACATCGAACGTGAATAATTAGGAAAACAATGTACGTGAGAAATTTCAATTCATTATATTATTGAAAATATCTACTTTAAACTGTAAATTAAGAAGATTAATCATATTCCTATCAAATGAATGTTTTCACTATCAAACTAACTAATTTAAAATATGAGCTATCCATAACGTGCATGGATCGTGAAATTTGAATTTCAAGATATTTACAGTCTCTATCATGTGATCACATTTCAAAATTTTAGCAGCATTTTTTTGTCATGGTTGGATAGAGCTCGATGAATTACATAAGAAAAAAAACAATATTACACATATTCAAAAGTGATTGTACAACCATCTAAATTTTGTATCTATTATTCTTATATTTAACAATAATAGTATCTTATTGCTTTTGAATGTTTATGATATCACTTTTTTCTTCCTCATGTAACTTGCAGAGCTTTATCTAATCATGATAAAAGAAAAATACTGTTGAAATTTGAATATCTCGGTCCACGCATGCTATGATCAATTCATATTTTAAATTAGTTCAATTGTCAATCAGAGAATTCATTTGATTGGAATATGATCAATATTGTTAACATACAGAGTAAATAGAGCAAAAGTTGTCATAGGTTCAAAATTCTCAAACGCTTCCTTATAGGTAGCATTGGACTCACAAATAGAGATCTGCGTGACCAGTTTGTCGTGACCAAAGAAAAAAAACGTTTTTCTATTATAATTACAATAGTAAATGTGAGAAACGAAACTTATTTAACTATTCTTGTTCAGAATTTTTCTCCTCTTCAAAATGGTATATAAAAGTCGAAGAATTCGATGATCTATGACAGAGAAAATTGCATCACATTAGCCGTAACCAGTTCTGGTCACGGCCAGTCACGACGTTTTCTGGTCACGACTAATGTGATGCAATTTTCTCTATCACAGATCATCGAAGTCTTCGACTTTTATATACCATTTTGAAGAGGAGAAAATTCTGAACAAGAATAGTTAAATAGGTTTTGTTTCTCACATTTACTATTGTAATTATAATAGAAAAACTTTTTTTTCTTTGGTCACGACAAACTGGTCACGCAGATCTCTACTCACAAAGACTAAAAGTTAACTCTCCGTTTTTTTGTAAATAAAAAGATCAGAATACTGAGTATATTTCCTGAAACACAAGTTTTTTTTTGTTGAACTAGAACTAATCTTATTTGTATACTGTAATAACAAAAACCTAGCGGTATATCATATTTTGTAACAAAAATAAAATAGACACCGTAAATATTTTCTTCGAGTTACATTAGAAAATATTTAGAAGGGGTATCAACTTTCTTTTTGTTTTTATTTCAAAATAAACTATACATAGAAAACTTGGTATTTCATTGTAGTTGCATATGTCTTGCCATTAAACAATTTTTGATTTATTCATGTCTCAATCAACTTGTACCATAAATAAATGTAAACGAATATCACGTGTACTTTGTCATTGTTGTAATCAAGATATATGTTTATTACATTTAAAAGAACATTATGATAAAATTATTTTACAATTAAATCCATTAACAGATGAAATTAATACAATTGATAATCGATTGATTACAATAGATATTAAAGAATTAATTATAGAATATTGTAAACAACTTGAACAATGGCGTAATGAATGTTATAAAACTATTGATTATTTATTTGAAAAAAAAAATATAAAGAACTTCAACAAATTATAATTAATAAAATTGATAAACAAAAAAATGAAATTAATTTAATAAAAAAAGAAATTTATCAATTTAATGAAAATTTAAATACTATCGAACATACATCTTTTAAAATTAATATTCAACCATTATTAATTAATGATAATTTAATTGAAATTGATGAAAAATCCGATCTACATTCAATTCTTTCTTTACCATTTAAAATAATTGATTTTTCTGAAATAAAATCATCAATTATTGCTACAAATGATCAATATTAATTAATTCATCAAAATTTATATTTATATTTAATTGATTATGCTTTTAAAAATAATTAAAAAACTTCCTTGGCATTTAGAACGTATAAAAGATATATGTTGGTCATCAACTTTTCATCGATTTATTTTAACAACAGAAAATTATGGTATTTGTTTTGTTTATGAAAATACAATTTCATTACATAATGCAAATTGTTTTAAACAAGAAAAATTTCATTCTTGTACATGTTCTAATACATCTTTATTTTTAACTGTTGGTGATTATGGTTCATCAATAATGGAATAATATCATTTATTACCATCAATAGAATTAATTAAACAATGAAAATCTCCTTATACATGTACAAAAGATGAATATATTGATAGTATACGTTATAATAATGAAAAATTTAGTTTAATTATTCAAAAATTTCCTGAAAAAATATTAAAAATTGAATTAAGATCTATTAAAACATTTGATTGATTATGGTCTATTCAACTTGATATGGATTTAAAACCTTATCAATGTAGATATTGTTTATTTAATCATCATATATTTTACATATTACACAAGATGGAAAAATAAAAGAAACATATCATTATAATCCAAGACCATATAATGCTACTTTATTCGAAGATAATATATTAGACATATTAACTGAGAGTAGTATAAATTTTCATAAACTTTAATTGAGTCTATTTCATAGACTTTAAACAAAAGAATTTCTATTTTGTTTTAAAAATAAAAATAATTCATAGAATCTTAAAGTCACTTCAAATAATATCAATTTATTTTAATGAACAGAAAAATTTATATAAATTAAACGCTATTTTTTTTTCCCTCAATTTATCAATAGGAATATCATATTAAGATTAGTATTTTCAAAAAAAAAACCATGCTAATACTTTTGATAGTTTTTCGTATAATAATTAATTAATACTAAGGTGTTAACATCATTTTCGATTTTAATACATTCGTTACCTATGACTAGATTTCTTAGAGTTCATTCTCAAAAATTTTCAATAACAGGACACTTCAGAATTATTTCCTCAAATCAGAACAACAACTTTTTTTTTCTATCTAGAATTATCATTTCAATAATAGAACAAAAGAATATTTGAAATTCTAATACTACGACCATATTCGTTAACTTCATGAAAATTTTACAAATTCAAATTGATATGTATTAAATCAAGAATTTGTTTTTTTTTCTGGATATAACTACTTTTGATTTCGATATGTTTATCAATAAATAGAAGTTAAAAAAATATCTATAAGATACTTTTGAATGATTTCCTTGAATTAGAAATAAGAATCAATCATTGGATAAAAAAAACACTGTTGTATATCATTTGAACTGTTTACGTTTTGTTTTCTCATATGGATACCATTTAAAATTCGTTGATCATAAAATATATTGTTCGGAAGAAGTTTTATAAATCGAGCTTTTGACAAAAAAAAGTACAAATTGTGCATCAATATTTTTCTGTATAAAATGTTCTTCATCGAGATTTATCATTTACTAAAAATAGATCTAATTATTAGCTTGTCGTCTGAAGTATTCAACTATCTATCAGTGTAGATTGTTTATTCTAATTTGTAAGACTTGACACCTTTTGACAAGTTTAAGTGCTTGAACTTCTTATTCCATCGTTTAATATTCTTATTCATACGTGTGTCAGGATGCTCACAAATGAAATGCTTTATGAAAAACATTACAAGCTGTATAGATTAACAATAAAAATCCGCTTCTATCGCAACCTAGCGATTGTAATACTCGATTGAATCTGGTTATCTTTTACAACTATCAAAACGATATTTATGATGTGCAAAACTAAGTTTAATCATATTTTATACATGTTTTTCGATTTATTTTCCAGGTTTATATTCAAAATGATTTGGCTCATAATACAAAATCTATAGATTAAATAACGAAGTCTATAACAGACAGGTCAAAAAGAGAATCTATATGAGTAGGTAGATTGTGATAAGGAACATTTTTTCATCTTGAGTGAAAAAGCTTTTATTATTTTATTCCAATTAATTGTTTTAAGTATGTGTTCATTCCTATGATACCTATAAAAAGAAAGTCATGTGGTATGGATACATCTTAAGGTTTGTGCAAGAGTCAAGCACATAGAAAAAAAAAGAAATTCGACTAGAGTTTTTTGTCTATTTGTAATGGCATATGTTAAGACTAGGAATCGAAGAATGATATACATAAAACTATAAATTATTCGTAGTAAACGAATGATTGCATAATTAGAATTTTTTCTTATCGCTGGATTTTTCATAAATAATGGAAAAACTTTTGTTATTTTAGTATGACTTAAATTTCTTGAATAATAAAAATGTATCACCACGTAAATTCTAATATAGAGTCGATATAAATGTTAACTTCATTTACTATTAATATCAATGTTCACCAATATGCATTTATATGAGAAACAAATATTCCTTGAGGGAATCAAAATTTATTTTATATTCTTTATAAGAATTTTATCGGACATATTTTCATAGCTTGTTATGCATTTTTACATGATGGAGATGATATTAAAAACAGAATGACGGAAATGTGTTTTTTTGCAAATGACATTTCGATGCTACTTTTTACCACTTTATAGGCAGTAGAGTTCTTTGTCAATCACTTTCAACTAGTATTAGTGAGCATATAGATTATCATTGAATGGAGGCGTTGTTCTAAGTTGGATTATCCATGGTAGAAAGAAAGTGGCAACTATAGTCTTTCTCTTTGATTGATATTGAAGGTCTAACGAGTAGAACGAACAATTGATTCTAGAAAATTGCCCTGCGGTAACAAAATCATTAACTATAAGAATGAAGCGAGTGTTAAAAGAAAAAGAAAGAAGAAAAAAGAACAACGACAAAAATAAAGTATAAAAATCTTCTCATTTTCTCGTTCTTCTTCTCATATTTACAATCTAACCCATATAGACAAACACTTTCTGTCTTTATATTATAATTTAAATTTTCAAAAATAATGTCTCATCATTGGTTATTGTTATCAATATTTCTAACAATTTTCTTATTAAAAATATCATATCTTCATTCTATTTCAATAAATTCTGATATAAATAATCATATTATTGATGAAAATTATGATAATCAAAATATAAAAAATATTCTACTTCATCTAATTAAAAATACTCTTAATGAATCAAATCCATATAAACAAACAATTTTACTCAATCAATTACGTGAATATCTCAATCGTATGTGTGTTTTTGGTTTATTTGGATCATCACGTGCTCATGCATGTCAAAATGTAGTTGATATAATTAATCAACTTGATAGAAATGATGAAAATAATGTTACATTTAATGATGATAATACAAATAATGAAAATCATGATATACAAAAACGTTTCTTTTGTAATGGTTTTATTGGTTGTAAACATTCTGGTTGATAAAAAATAAAAAATGAATATTCCAACAATATTTAGAGAACGTAACATAATATATTTATTAATTAAAAAAAATAAAAATAAATTCGAATTGGTTTTTTTATTAACGGTTTTCATTAACCATGAGAGATTTTTATTTTTTTTTTCATCGTTATCATTATAGTTATTCAAGAAAAAAAAAAACATAGTCATGTTTCGCTTATGTTCAAGATTAATTGTATTCAATAAATGAGCCATTAAAGAATCAAGAAACATGACTGTATTAAATTTAAAAGAATTATCATAAGCTACAGCGGAAGAAGAATATATTACAAATGAACAATTGTAAGAAATAGAAATACACGAACTAAATATTTTTGTTTCGTGTATAGAAAGATTTTATAAATACTTAAAATTAACCCATTCGATATATAAACAACGAGAGTCGACGAAAATAGAATAAAACAAAAATACTTTATTACACGAAACAAAGAAATGATAATAGATTTGAAAAAAAATATCTTTGTCGATAACAATCAATGATATCCAGGAAATAATTCAATGAGTTGATAAACTAATTGAACATTTATATCACAGTATTGTTAAGTTCAACTGATTCTTATTTTATGTTATAAACTCTATTCTTCTTCCAATATTATCATGCCCTTATATAAAATATTTATATAGATTTTACTAATCTAATGACTTATTCAATATTTATATCAATCACAAAAGCTTTTAGTGCAATTCCTTCAGGATTCAAATGTGAAACATGATGTAACTGCTGTTACTAATTACAGAAAGATTATTTTATTTGATCTATTTTGAGAACACATTTCTTCAGACTTCTTCACAAATGTAATTAGGAAGTAGTTTTTATATTATAACAAGACGTCATTGATATACGGTCTATGATCGTTTATATCGACAACGTCTGTCTCAGCCTGTGGATTCAAATTTTGTGTGGATACAAACTTATAAACTATTTTGTTTTTGGTTTTATACCAAATTCAAAAAAACACCCTTACGACAAATACAAAATCTTCTTTACTCCATGAATCTTTCAAAAGATTTTGTGCTTTTCGTACGGATTTTTTTTGAGTTTGGTACGAAATCGAAAAAAAGTTTTCGAGTTTGTATCCCTGCAAAGAATCTTTTTAGATTCTGTAGAGTTTATTGCAAATATATTCATTCATTCTTCATTTTGTGTTGCGAATTTCTTTATCAACGAACATCAAAACTTTTCTTTTCTTTTCTTTTGTCTTCTTATCTTTCTTCCTACAGAAATAATTAAGTGTTTCTTTAATGAGGAATCGAGATATCATAGAAGTTTCATACGGACTTGATTAATGTCTTTATCTATTATTCATATAAAGTAATATTAAGAAAGAAGCAGTCTTCTGAATTTGATTTGTTTGTTGTTAAGTAATTAATTTTATTATTATCTTTCACTCGTTAAATTCAATTGAATGCTTATTTGCACAATCTCTATTGATACTTTTCTTTGTGACGTTTCGAAAGGTTAAGCAGTTGTATTCAAATATGAAAATTGCAATACCCATTCATCCATCTCCCTTTTTCTTTGTCTTCCAGATAGACCAAAGTCTAATTTACTCTGTTCTCACACATACTAATTACGTATTGATTCATTACACTCTTGCTACAAAATCTCGGTCAAACTATATACAAGCTGACAAGATGAGTCAGTCGTGCCAAATGATACCATCACGCGGTAAGACAATACGTTGTATAAGTTGTATGATGACCCAAATTGGCGTCACACCAGACGCATCCAGTGTAAATTTTTTCTTTAGGCTGGACGATGTGTCAACATTATATTCTTATCTGAATGAATTACATTGCTGTCTAAACTTTTCTCAATCAGTATATAATGTGAGAAGAA